TAATAAACCCCCCCCCCCCCCCCCCCCCCAAAAAAAAAAAAAAAAAAAAATTAATAAAAACATCACGAGCAATAACAAGCTTATAAGCACAGATCTACCAGTAGACTTTTAAGAACGTGGGTATTAATATCATAATAGCCAAGTGATGAAAGCATTAAGCAGACCCTACTAGCAAGACAATTCTCTTCTTCTTCTGTGGATAGCTGGTGTTATCAAAAAGTATCTGCCACAACAATCCTGATAATTATAGCAATTGTGAAGTAAAAGAAATCAAAATGTTCAAAAATTATTCTAGAAAGATAATGTAAAAATAGAGAGTGAAAAAAAATTGCAGGAGAATGCAGCTCAAGATAGATAACACACAACTAGATACATAGGAGAATATACCTTGCTAGATTTCCAACATATACTCCTTTGATTTGGAAGGGAACAATGAAGTGGCACCCTAATCTTGAAAATTTTGGGAATACCATCCGGTAGTTCCCTATCTTGGAATGGGTGATTCATCTGCCTCAAGTCCTAATCATGGAAGATAAGATATACATCGGGATCAGAATGTTCAAGCTGTATTCACAAAATTGAGGGAACATGAATAAGCTGAGACAAATAGTGAAACAGAGATTTTTTCTGCCAGGGGAGGGAGGTAGGGTCAACAAAGTTGATGAAATTGTATACCTTGGTACTTGGTAGTCTTCTAACATGCACTCCCATTACTGGAAATGAAACAATCAAGTGATACTCCAATCTTGAAAGTTTCGGAAGCCCTAGATCGTATTCCCATTTCCCATAGACAAGAAAAAGGGCATCATCAGGAAACAAGCACAAAACTTTTGCCAGGCCTGGCTGTCCTTCAGTAGCACATGCCGGTATTTTCACAGTTCCGAAAAATATTTATTTAGTAAATGAATAAAATTGTAAACATAATTACGTGAAGAATTTTTGGAGATATTCAAGAAAGTAAAGCAGTGCAATAAACATCATTAAGTGAGCGAGTTGGATATACGTACAGATATGCCCAAAATTGGATGCCATTTATCTGCAGTGTCAACAATAGTTTAGGGAATTGAGTTTATGCAATAATGTTCACCGGAATTAGTTACAAACCTTATGGGCAAGTTGTATCAACAGTCACTTTTGTTGAACTGATCATCTTGGACTATGAAAAACAGCATTATATTACTCCAGACAACCAAATAAGCAGTATAAAAAATGCCAAGCCCTCTTGGCATCCTATTAGTTACATGCTTCGACTACCATTCTATTGTAATACTTGGTTAGCCTCCACAAGAGAATCTTGGGGAGTTAACCCATCATACATTCCACAGAAATTTGACTTTATTGATTGACTAGTAAACATGTGCTCAGAAATCCATGCACACACATCTGACATCCTCGTTTTATTTCTTGTATTCTTCCGAGATCAAACATAATCCAGATAACTATTCTTGAAAGTGGATGACATAGTTCGAGACACATAATGGCAAGTGAGCATCAGAAACGAGCAGTAATTTGGGAAAATAGAGCCTTGAAATCAGTTGTTGCCGTGCCAGTTCCTTCGGGCTTTGAGGCCAGATCAAACGCCTTACATTTGGCCTCCTCAAATTGTAGAGCCTGTTCACAAGAGATCACTTAGTATGCCACTATAATCCCAAAACAAAAGATCCAATGCAGCTTCAAGAATGGGCAGAGAAGAATGCAAATCAATATTTGTACCTGAATGCAGACTTCCGCCACATCAGCCCTGGCAATAGTTTTTGTTTGGGTCTGAAGAAGCTCATCATCCTTTCCAACAAGTAACTCCCGTATACCACCTTCCTTATCTTGCAAGCCTCCAGCCCTGGACCAAGCAAAAAAATCCAGGGGGATGATCTAATTGTTATGATATAAACCGACACGAACAATCACAGATGTAAAAGATGGATGTCAACCAGGGATAAAGTATTTTTTCATTATCAAGAACAATCAGTAAAGAAGTACTTAACCATTGAAACTATGGGTAATTCAACAATATTTACAAGCAAAATGTCAGCTTGAGAAGACAAATTGTATTACAAAACAAAGGGGGAAAAAAGAGGAAATCATTGCCTCAAAATCATAATTTACTAATAATTTTATGGATAATCAGGAAAGTGTCAATTACATTTGATAAAAACTTAATATTTGAAATTGAGAATCAGTCATGGTTACACAATTGTTCATATGGAAGGTAGCTAGAAACAAAAAAGTTCTGAGGGCATATCAGAGATAGTATAAGAATAAGACAAATGCTACATAAAAACTTTCATTTCCATAGGTGTCTTTAATAATCTGCCCATTATCAATGCTATACATGATACAAATTAGATTTCAAAAAATTGATGAAAGATAAGGCAAACAAATCATGAGCACCATACACAACTCAACTCAACAAAGCCTTGCCCCAACCATGAGCACCATCCTCAATTTGTCAATTTAATTATTAAGCCATCTAGTTGAGAAAATACTAACAACTTTGTAAGCAGTCATTACACTTGGGACTATCATTTTCTTCAACTGTCAGTTATGATGCATGTGAGATATGCTATCTGTAGATATCATAAAAGTGCTGTAACAAATTCTGCAAAGGTAAAAATCATCTTTTATGCACATACTACCGTAGCAAATCATGATTTGTACTCATCTTATGTTCAACACATCAAGTCAATATTAAGATGCCATCCCACCAACATTTATTCAGGAAAACAGAAGTATAAATGATGGGCACACCTTATAATTGTGTATGGGATTCCAGAGTCAGCCAAATGCTGTTCAGCTTTTCGCTTCCAGATCTGTCATATGGCAAATCGAAGTGGGATAAATGCATGGCAAGTGGCAACAAGAGAAAAAGGAGCAATTCTTGAGGAGAAAAAAACAATAAAAACCAAGATATTCCCATTCCCCAGGCTGTTTAGAGGGTGATTAGGGTTCATTCCTCCCATTGACCCAACTAGAATGATTTGCTTCACTCCAGCAGCTTTAGCTGTACACAGACATCACATAATTTAGCAAACAAAAGACTGAAAAGCAATTAAAATAATATGAGACGGCGAGACAAAAACTCACCAGCATCTATTTGATTCTTCTGTCCAATCCAGTCAACCTGAAAATACATAATCAACATCACATGAATCAAGCAAAAGAAAAAAGAACTACCCAGATCCTTAAGGCAGATGACAAGATGATTACTTGTTCAGGATATGCTCCATCCTCAAAATAAAACTCAGGCCTTCCACCTTTACTTGGATCAAAACCAGGCTTCATTTTTGGCACAGCACTAGTGAGAATTATAAGAGCATCAATACCTCGGATTGCAGGAACAATGCTGTCAGCATTCCTTATATCCCCAATGTAAACATCTTCTGCTCCGCCAATTTTCTCCTTGCTCTCCTCATTTCTGACCAAACCTCTAACAATATACTGGTCTGACCTTTCCTTCAATTTCTTATAAGCGATTTGGCCTGCACAGATTAAGCAACATAAAATTATGTCAGAAAAGATTTTAAATATCATTTCTTCACAGAAGAGAAACAAAAAGCGAGATTGTTTGTCCCATTTTCACTGCAGAGAATGAACAAAATTTTAAAAGGCCCAATAAAGTTGATATGACATTTGATTTTTCTATATTAAGCAAATGAATGTATATTCCAGGAGCATAAGAATGACAATCTTATGCATCTTTGTGCTTCTACTTACATTTAAATTCAAGTACATACCATATATTAATCAGTGAATTATTTGAGCTCACTAGTAAACTAAAAACAGTTCATCATTAGTCCCAGATGATTATTAGCTGAGTGTTACGTTTAAATTACTGAAGTTGGATAGGTTAACAGTAAATTGTTTCAATTCCCTATACAATAACCAGAAGCGCTTAATATATTTTTTCCGTTTGCTCCTATTGCTTTACATGTATAAAAAAGGTCCCCAATGTTCAATACCGAAACATATCCTGCATTTTATCAAAGAAGTGCCAATTTGAAAACATGGAAATTATGCCAAAAAAACGGAGAGTGGAATCATCACTTGGTGGAAGTGCCTACAAACTAATGCTACAGTACAACAAAGCCAGATGACGCATCACTGGGCCACAAATAATGGCTATGTGAGTAATAAAAAATCATCATATCAAGAGAGATCTAAATGCCATTCTTACGGCTTTACTCTGTGAAATATCATGCAACTTGAATTATTTTTAGGAACTAAATTACCTTGTTCCAACCATCTGATACGAATCCCAAGAGGCGTCTGAGAAATATCACACAACTTGGAATATTCATAGGAACTAAATTACCGACGGTCTAATATGAATACAATAGACATCCAACACAAAACCAACCAGCAATGGCTAGAGTAGCCCATTAAACTCTTATTACGAGACTTATTCATTCTGAATTTTCCGATACAGGACAAGGGTACTGTCAAAGACTACAACGCTCCACACCCATGGGCCCATTCTACTTCAATTAGCTTTCTCCATGTAGGCCTTTCCGCAGGGCTCTCCTTCTAGATTCTACACTCTGGCGGTAGGTATCCCTGCCCCCCTCCCCCCCCCCCAAAAAAAAAAAAGAAAACCCAAAACGAAAACACACGCACACACATTGATTTAATCTTATCTACTAAAATCCTAATTAGAAGGAAATCAAATTCGAAGCTATACGAATTCAAAAGATTAAAATTATAACACTATAATAGAGAATTACATAAAAACAAAAAAAAGAGGAGCAGGGAAAGTGTTAATAGTTACCGGTTCTACCACCAGCTCCGGTGACAAGGACTGTGCTCGGATTCGCCATTGCCGATGAAACCACGACCACCAAAATTGAAAGTCTCTTCTTAAAAGTTCTCTCTCTCTCTCTCTCTCTTCTGGTGATGAAATGTTGATCAATTACAGAGGGGTGGATGTTTCTGGGAACCCTATTTACAGAATTCAACGAACAATATTAATTGGTGACATCGACAGAAGGTTGAAGAAGTAGTTGAGGCTGGATGGACACGTGTCACTATGGCAATGGGATGAAGACTAGTAGGATGGATTTGTGTCCATCCAGCGGTGATGTTCGTTACAGTTACTTTTGATTTTCTTTGGAGTTTTTTGAGGTCGGTAGCCAGACCAAATGACCAATAGGACTTAAAAATAAAAAAAATTCCTTCGTCAATTTATTTTTGAATTAAGTTTCTATTAAAAAGTTAAAATAATGGACATAACTAATGACCTTTAAAATTATAAAAATAACGATAATATCATCACGTAATTTAAAAAAATTACATTATCATAATGTATTTTCTTCTGCAAAAAACATATATGATCAGTATACTAAAATAAAATCATATTATCGATTAACGTATCCATTAACTTGTGATTTGCAAGTACATTAAGATATATTTACTAATAGCGGCTGAGTTCAATATATTTCTAGAACATATACATTAAGATACAAATTGACACATACAAATGAACAACTGGTATATAAATAGGTAATTAAAATTTTATCACAAGAGTTACGTATTCATTCTCAGCAAAACTAAAAATTGAATATAAAAGGTAATAACGCTCACAAACATATATGATTACACACACAAAAAAATGTATTAACAAACACAACAAGTACACAATTAATATATAAGTGTTTACCTAGATACACAACATCATTCAGATACATTATACTAATATATACATCTATGAGATATGTACATCAGTATTTAATTGAGAAGAAGGTACATATATGTTATTACAGATACATAAATCTGTTTAATAACTACAATACAATTCAAATACCAAAAGATAAACAAAATAATTTTTGCTATTCGCGGTTGAGGTCGCTTTAAATTTTACTTTAAAATTAATTAACGGTTAATATTAACACCTCAAATTTAATATGAAAAATAGGCCTCTAAGAATATGTTTGAAGTGACTTTTTAAAAGTAGTTTTATGAATTATTTCTCATAAGTACTTTAAAAAAAAATGGTGTTTAGAACCGCTCTACCACTACCTCTAACACCCCTACCCCCACCGCTCCACCACCACCACTATTGCCACTCTACCATTCCCACCACCATCACCACTGCTACTACCATCATCTTACCACAACCATTACCACTTCCATTGCCCCACCACCACTATAACCACTACCATCATCGCCCACCACTACCACCACAACTCCATCATAATCACTATCATTACCATCATCGTCCCATCACCACCATCACTTCCACCGCCCTACCACCACCATCATCACTATCGCACCCTACCATCATCACAACCACTGTCGCACCTTACCACTATCGCCATTGTCCCACCATCACCTCTATCACCCCATTGCCCCATCACCACCTCTATGACCATCATAACTACCACAACCATCGCCAACCCAACATTGTCACCCCCTACCCCAGCCCCACCATTGCCATTGCCCCACCTCCACCCCCACTCCACCCTCACTGCCCCACCGCCGCCACTATCGCCACTATCGCCACCCACTACTTATTGCTACTATCGTCGTCCATGGCCACCACCCACCACTATCGTCATCTTATTCTTATATTTATTATCATTATCATTATCATCATCATCCCATTACCATTGTCAGCACCCACCACCACTCATCGCCACCAACCACTATCACCTACCACCATTACCTATCATTGCCCACCATTGCAGCTACCCTCTGTCACCTACCTCTACCACGCTTACCATCGTTGTCATTCTCCACCACCCAACACACTGTCGCTCAGAAGCATCCATCGTCACCCATCACCACTATCTTCACTATCCACTATTGCCGTCGTCGTCCCACCACCACCACTCCCAACCACAATCACTGTCGTCCACCACCACCACACCCCACCACCACCATCGTTGCCACCCATAGCTGCCACTATTATCATCATCAGTCAAAACCCACCACCACCATCGTCGTTGCCACCCACTGCTGCTACCACTACTATTACAGTCATTGCCTTACCCCACAACCATCACTGTCTCTCATCATCACCATTGTTGCCTACCATCACTAGCACCGCTCACCACCACTACCACCGCTCACCTTTACTATAATCGGCGCTTAAATTTTTTTATCTCTCCTCTATATTTGTGATTTGATTTTTGGTGTAAATACAAATATGTTGACCATTTTTTTATTACTTCGTGTCTTCAGGCACGAGGAATAACTAGTACACAAAACAAAATACAATTCAAAATTACGTAAATCATAATGAACATGTACCTAAACTTACCAAGAAATACATAAAACTTAACTGCTGCGATTTGATTTATGTACTTACCAAATCAACACTTAAGATAAAACGACTGGTATATTCCAAATTACTTGGTTCACGAATTTGAAATTCAAAATTAATAGACAATACCACAAAATCCTCAATAACGAATGTAAAAACAAAAGAAGAAAATAATTGTATTTTATGTTGAATCATGTGATGATGACAAAATGGGTAATGAAAATACACTAAACCCAACCCTTATATGTTTGTGCCCACACAAGGACCGAATGCAATTTTTTTTTAAATACAAAGGATTTTTTATATATTAAAAAATTGATAGAACTAAAATTTGTTTATTCACTAAATGAAGGACTCTAACCTAATTAACTATTTTATTTTCTCCCCCGGACCTACCCAATGAGATGTCTTACCTTATCCCTAATATTGGGCTATCAACTTTGTTGGGCTTTGTTTTTATAAAAGGCCCATCAACCTTGTTAGAGAAAATCATCTATTTGATGTTTTTAAAAGGACAATGTTACATGGACTTAAAATATTGATTTAATTTGTTAACTTGATCAATTATTATTATTGATTTAACTGTGGGTTATAGTATTTATTAGGACCCATTAACTATTCGATAGTTGTAATTAATCGAATCAATATTTTAAGTCTAAATGATATTTTCCTTTCCAAAATGTGAGATTTCGCTACAAAATTTGGATTGTCTTCCTAGGTCTCTTTGGTGTTGTCTATAGGTCATGATGTGCCTAGTTGCTTAGCTACTTGCCTCGAGTATTTCCATAAGAGTTACTTGTTTTTTTTACCTTTCTTGATTTCACCCACACTAGTGTGTTTTGTTGTTTGGATGAATTTTTTTGGGAGGGGCAGAAGCATTTTTGTAGTGCTCTAAAATTCCAACTTGACTTATGCTCCGTTTGGTATGATGGAAAAATAGAAAGATGAAAAGTTGAAAGGATAAATAAAATATCATGTTTGGTAAGGAAGAAAAATAGGAAGGATGAAAAAATGGATAGATGAACTTTTCTTCCAACTTATCGAAATCAATCCCTCTAAAATCAAAAAGAAAGTGGATGTAAAATTAATTATTTGTATTAAAATGTATCTTATTTGTCTATATATCTTTTAATATATACATATATTATGTATACATTAATTTCATATATAAATACAATGATAAGATATGTATTTATATTTTTTTTTAAAAAAATAAAAATAAAAAAAATATTCTTTTCATTTTAGATAGGTGTGAAAATTTTTGATTCAACATGCTGATATAACTCGAATTCGACACGAATTTTATGACACAATTTTACGAAAACTGGTCTTGAGCTAGCACCTTCCGGAAGGTTTGGCCCAGAAATGCCAAAACACCCTACAACTCAAGCTCTGCCACTTGGGAGTCCCACATATGATTCTTTCACTTGTCTCCTGACATATTCTTCATACATACATGCCTCCTACACTCTAAAGTCATCATTGGAAGATGGAGGATGAGAAAGGAGGAGAGAGAAGGATGGAGGCATGGAGGGTGCAGGCTAAGCTTTCCTAGCCTGTCCAATGCTTCAAATCACCTCCTATAGATAGAAGGTCAGCTCACACAGGCTATGGGGAGCCTCATGGACAAAAATGTAAGAGTTCTACACCATATATTCAACATTCACACAAGCTTTGAGAAAGGGGAGACTATTTAAGCTTAGGAGTAGTTTTTAGAGAGATAAGTTCCAAGGAAGAATATGAAGTTTAGAGAGATAAAGCTTAGATTTTTGCATTTTCTTCACCCATTTTAGTTGTAGTAAGTTATATTTCATTTATAATCTTTATTTCTTGCATTGTAATCTCTTTTATTTCAAGTGAAATCAAGTTTAATCTTATGTTCTTGCACTTTCATAATTTCTACTGGGTTTTCTCTGCAACTTTTATGTTTGGGTATGAAATGAATTTTTCTTTGTAGTTTACCATCTCCTAGCATTAATACAAGTTCTAAGTTTCATTTCATCTTTATTTTTAGTCCATTTAATCTATATGTCTCTTTACATTTTGTTTGTTCTTGCTTTTATTATGAGTAGCTATATGTTTTTGTTAGCTAATCCAAGGAAAATTTCCTCTTGAGTATCTGAAATTGACTCTCGTTCATTCTACCTCATAGTGAAAGGTGGTTTGGTTTGACTAGGTTGAGTGCGGATATGGTTGTGAGCTCTTGATACACCGTAGACTTGTCACGGGGTATGCTTGAGCCCTCACTTCCATTTTAGTCCATCGCTTCCTACGAATCAATTGAACACCTATGCACCATTGGAAGAATGTTTTGAGATGATTTGACATTCTCATTGGAATGACCTCTTTGGATTAGCCAACCTTACTTTCTTGCATCTTTATCAAAAACTCCACTCACCAAAATACAAAACTAAAAGATTTTACACTTTTCTTTTTTCACAAAATCACCTTCACCACAATTCGACCTTCCTTCCCTGAGGAGACGACTTTGGAATATCCATTCCAAGTAAAACTCGACACTCGAAAGTCTCTCTACGTTTGGGGAGCATTTTTGCT